ATCTCACGTAATTTACGTCTCTATGATGATTGGTTGATATACCAGAAGGGAGGCTAGCCTTTTCGCAACACTCCTCAGTGCTGAAAGTGAACACTTGATGCTGATTGGCTAATTTTTGTTACCAACGGAGGCACGAGAGCTCACCTCTCCCCCGTGTTCATATCTTCCCTGAGTAAAAATGAAGCTCCTTATCTTTCAGACCAGTTCAGTCGTGATGTCAATATGTAGGCCAACCCAGAAAGCTAATTTGCCATGGGTTTACTCCAAAGGGTTTTTAAAATAACAATTTAAATCAGAATTGAAATTTAAACTTTAAATGTCAACATGTTTGTTTTCAAACAAATTACAGTCAACAAGATGTGAAAGAAATCCCAAAGTCTTAGGAATGCCTTAAAGTTAATAATGTCAGTTTGAATATGATGAAATACAGTGGTGGCCAAAATGATTAGAACACTAGTATTTTCACCAGCTAAAAAGATGGTATTAAGTCAGTTATTTCTATCTTTTGCTGTAGTGTGTCAGTAGGAAATATCAGTTTACATTTCCAAATGTTTATTTTGCCATTATTTGTAATAAAGATTTTTGTTTGCACAAGGAGTCTGACAACAGCCAGTGCTGCACACAGAGATCTGATCTGATCATCATCCAGTCCTTCTGGAACGACATGAAGAAACACAACAAACTGAGACACACTCAATCCAGAAGAACTGTGGCAAGGTCTCCAAGATGCTTCAAGAAACCTACCTGCAAAGTACCTACAGTACTGTTAAAAGTTTTAGGCTCTTGTGTAAAAATGCTGTAAAATGAGGACGCTTTCAAAAATAATGTCATAAATAAATCTTCTTTATCAGTTAACTTCTATTAACTAAATTAAATCAACATTTGTTGTGACCATCCTTTGCGTTTAAAGCAGCTTTTGCCCTCGGTGCACTTGCGCATAGTTTTTCAAGTAGCTTTGCAGGTAGGTTTCTTGAAGCATCTTGGAGACGTTGCCACAGTTCTTCTGGATTTAGTCTGTCTCATAATTGCATATTCTGATTAGGTTTTTCATCACTTTACACTATAGAAGTCTGATTTCTTTCTTCACCCTGAATTTACAAAAGAGTAGGGGGTGGAGGAGTCGAGGACACACACTGCTTGATTGACAGTGAAACCTGGATGCTTGCTGTGAGGGCTCGTTGACCTGGTAAGGGTAGGTCAAAGGTTAAATCAGGCACTATGAACCAGTGGTTGGTTGAAACAAGGAGGCCTAATTTGTCTCTGATTGCGATTGTTTGTGTGTTTTGAAGAGACAGTGCGCATCTGTGCCATTTGACTTGATTGATTGACACTGACAGGCTTTCGACTTTCTTTAAATATATCCAAATAAAAGAAACAGAAAATGCAAAGGAGGTATTGCAGATTACTATACAGCCTAAATGAAGCATAAATAAATATCATAAATAAAATGAATTATTCATTTTAAATAAAAGTAGTTTAATTAATTTGATTATGATAATTAATTAAGTTTGTGTATGAAAAAATATATACATACATAATTGCAGGGAACACATGATTTTCATTTGAAAAGTATTGTTTTGGTGCTCAAGAAAGTTTACTGTAGGGTGTGTTTATATGTGTTATATATATATTTCATGATTTTAGTGACTTTCTTCACTATGTCCTTTCAAGACTTTTACATTCGCAGACTCTGTGCTTCTTGTAAACATCTTTGAGTGTTTGTGTATAAGTCCGACCAGAGCGGATGTTTGTTTCCTCGTTGTTTGAGTCAAAAACTCAAATTGGCCCTTTTATTCTGAAGGCCTCATACCTTTTCTTTGTACTTCATAATATCCCCATCAAAGTGTGTATCGAGTCAACCTGAAAGTCTCATCATGACTGAATAAGCTACATTTTGGCCTGCCTTTCTCTTTCGTTTTCACTTTGTTTTATAGGTCAGGCCGAAACTGGCCTTTGAGCACTGATGACTTTTTCTTCTCGTAGTTAAATGTTAACCTTACACAAGACACACAAGTGCTCACGTATCTGTATTGAACGGCAAGGACTGCCAGGACTTCTGGGGAGCTTTAACAGAACAACAGAACAGGGTGTGGCGTGTACTAAGAGATTATTGTCTCTGTGTGGATGACTGAGTGCTTAAGTGTGTGTTTGTGTGTGCGCGCGTTATGCAATTTTCCATTGCATGTCATAATTGCATGCAGAGTGCGTGACGGTCCAGCTGAGCCGTGATGCATAAACTGATCATCAACATAGTATGCAGTTCCACACACAACCATTTGCATTCGTTGAAACCACACATTTATTCAAACATGGCTCAAAGGAGGCCACCCACGATGATAAAATCATCATCATTTCATCATTTGCAATGCAGAAACCTATATCTGCTACACTCTGTGGCAGTGCATTTTAATTCCTCATTTAGACTAATTTACTCTCAAGCCTTCCTGTTTGGTTGCAGTGATGGCAACAGGCATAATGAGCTCATCACATGGCTTGGTCATTGGTCTGGAGACCCCTGCAGCTTGACCAATCACAGGTCGATTTGATGACGCTGCCGTCGGAAGGCGGGCTCAAGACTGCCGCGGACGTCATAAGTAGTCTGAACGAGCTCCGCGATTGGCTGGATTCGTGAAGGTATAGAATGTGTAAAATGAAAGAGGAGTCGTTGAAGTTGATGCGTCTGGTTTAATTTTGCGCATTTCCTTTCTGAATGCTAAAAGAGAATGAAACGTACTCAGACCTGGAAGTGAGTTTCCTTCCTGTTTATTATTGAAGTTAATGTCATCCCTGTTTGAAAAGCGCACCGCTACCAGTTTTAGTGGGATTTTCCAACAGGGCTGATGTTAACGTAAATAATAAACGGGAAGGAAACTGGTATAACGTTACGTATGTTTGTGCTATTTGCAGAAAAACACAATAAAATACTTTTTTTTTTTTTTGCATCTTCTCAAGGTTTTTAAACAATTTAAGACTTTTTACATCTTTTTTAAAAGATGAATACTTTCATCTAACCAACAACTAGGCTTTTTTGCAGTCTTACAATTCATAAATGTCCTGCTG